GTGCTTAGGGACACGGTTTAGTGGTGGACTTACTTGTCAGAGTTAGGTTTTCAATTGGACTTGATGATCTTAAAGGTCTTTTCCAACCAAACGATTCTATGATTCTATAGTGTAGCTGAACATGTACAAAAGTGAAATGATGTCAAGCAATCTAGTTGCAGAGGACTTTTTTAAAGTCGTTTATTGCTATTGAGCTTCCTAGCTGTTGTCCCAAACTTCTCTAAGGGAATATCATATCATTTAGTTATAAAAGAACAAGTTTCATTTGAGAGGCATTTTTGTCTTTGTAATGTCTCCATTCTTTGGAAAACAAAACACATGCTAATGATAATAATGTTCTTCTAATTATACAACTCCTTTTATCTCAATGGCTCTCAACACAAACTAGAAATTGCATCATCTGACAATAGCATGTAGGTATGATGTTTTAACATCTTGGTGAAACACAATCACTGAATTACTTTTGGATCCTTGTTCTACCCTCTACAGTCAAGGCAAAGGGTCAAAATACCTCAAAGTCAGATGTCCAAAATAAGATCAAAAGGTTGAACAAAATCAGCCTTTTACTCACAGGCTTATTTAAAGATTCAGTACTGTATATCTAGAAGCTCAGCTTTGAAACATCAAACTATTGTTTCCCTAGAAAGATATTCCATATATGTTGCCTATATAGTGTTAAGTATCATTCATTTCAATCAGGTCAAGGACTTTTGTGTGTTTGGGGAAAAACCGAACAATCTGAAAAGTACATGTATTGTTATTACACAGCTTTTCTTTTCGGATTTCTGTTTTTCAGATTATTTGAAACGCTGCAGTCATTATTCTGGTCTATATTTGGACTCATCAACCTCTATGTGACCAATGTGAAAGCAAGGCACGAATTTACTGAATTTGTTGGGGCCACCATGTTTGGTACCTATAATGTAATTTCTCTGGTTGTTCTACTCAACATGCTAATAGCCATGATGAATAATTCTTACCAACTTATTGCTGTAAGTTATTCTTTATCCTTAGATCATTTAGCATATATACCTTCTCTCTGTTCCTACATCCCGTTTTTTCTGGCACTGAGTTTTTTTTGCAGACAGGATATTGGTATAAATTCTCTTATTTATTCTAATTCTTTTGCACTGTTCTGGAAGGACTGGGAAACCAGACCTCAGCTGGATTGGGCAGAGAGGAATTTCGCCACAACTCTGAATGTGGAAGAGGTGGCCCTGCTGCAAAAACAAGCTTGTGAATTGTCCTGAAGCTGCTGGCAAGTGGCATGGGCTACAGCCCTGCCCAAGTTGCACTGTGCAGGACTTTTCCTGAGAAAGATAATCTGCAAAAGATTGTTCTGTGTCTATTTTTAATACATTATATTTATTAACTTCTAAAAGATTGGGGTTTTTTATTATTTTTATATAGTGTGACTATACAGTTAATAGAAATTGGATGCTCACATTTCATGGACAATTTTGAACCCATTAGCAATTCAAACAAAAGGTCATAACTTCTCATTCAGCAGTGTCCTGTTTTCATCTTTAAGGAAAAACTGTCTTTATCAGCGTTATTGGCTTACTTTTATTCCTCAGCTGTCTATTAAGGAGACTAATGAAAATAAACACTGATTTATCATAGGATAATTCAAATATGATCATGCAGAAAGCAAACAAATAAAAGATTTGAAAATGTGCTTTTTTTCTAATCTGGAAATTACAAGTTTTTCCAGAAAATAAATACTGACTACATGTGTTTATATAATGATAGTTAGCAAACTCTGGTACACAATATCATGACATACTAGCATTCATGAAAACTCAGACTGCAAGTAGAATAATTTTCCTCCTACAACTTCTAAATAATTTTTTTGATTACTTGATTTAGTATAGCAGGCTAAATACTAAAGGCTAGGGCTAGATCTGTGGTTTAAGTTCTTGGCTACTATGTTTGTTGTCCAAATCTAATATTAGTGATTTAAACTTCTTCAGCTGCTATGATTTAGCAATCTTTCCACAGACCTTAGTTTTGATTTTTTCAAACTTTTAAAAATTATACAATATTATATAGAACCCAAAAGAAATAAAATTTCAAATAAAAATAAAACCCCTACAACCTATTCCAAATATATAATTCTGAAGTAGGAGGAAAAAAAAAGATACTTGAATCAATAGTTTTAAGCAGCCTCATGATTTGTTGGATAATGTATTTGTGAATTTTTGAGGCTGGCAATTACTAGGAGAGTGCATGAGAGTTACAGACCTGTTGAAGCTGCTACACAACAGAGTAATTAGTGATCTATGTGGAATAATGATGAGCTGCTGTTATAACAAAACATCTCTTCCAGAAATGTAGTATTTTTCTGCTTGTAATTATCCTTTGTTGTCTGAGAGACTTTTAATTATTTAAAAGCCTGTAGCAAGGAAAGAAAGGTTGAAAGTGGATATATACTGTACATATCTAACTTCACTTTACTGAAGTAAAGCAGCTTAGCTTTGCTTTGTGTTAAAGACCTTCCATCAAAAGAAGATGTCAGGATTTTAAGAAGAAAATTCATTAGTATTTCAGAGTTGTTCAGTTTTAGGTTTTCAGATTTTTATAGAGGTTTGTTTCACCTCCTTCATTACATCAACATCTGTGCTGGTGTTGTGTTTCTCGTGTGCAGGATCATGCAGACATTGAGTGGAAGTTTGCTCGAACAAAACTCTGGATGAGTTATTTTGAAGAAGGTGGAACTCTGCCCACTCCTTTCAATGTCATACCAAGCCCTAAATCTCTCTGGTATCTGATCAAATGGTTATGGAGGCATCTCTGCAAGAAAAAAATTAGAAGAAAACCTGAAAGTTTTGGAACAATAGGAGTAAGTCCTGTGTTTTACTCTGCTTGTAGTCCTCCTTTTTGCTGTATAGATGAGTCTTTCTCAGCCTTACAAAACAGGGAAGTGTATGAACTGTCAGATAATGTGCATATGAGTTACAGAATAATTCTAGCAGAGAATTGGGAGGGGTGAGGGGGGGTTACATTCATGTCAATATATTTGACTAAAAAGAAAGCATCATCGTATTCCTGTCCAATGAAAATATGAACCATGACTGTGCGTCATCTACAGATAATGCGAGAAAGATTGAAAGCAATACAAATATTAGAGTTCAAATATGTTCAAATCAATCCCCGAGTTGTGGTTGATGATCTCCAGCTCACGTGTCACAGTTCAAGTATATTGACATATCATGAAACACAGAATTGTGTATAAAGTATTCACCATGGCATAGTCTCCGTCTCTCTGCCTCTCTCTCTAGATCTAATTAAATGAATTTACCATAAAAGCATTTTTACCAAAAGCTGTTACTACTAAAGAAAACATTTTGAAAGATAATAGCATTTACTTGGAATTGCTTACTTTAATTTACAGGTAGTTATTTCAGAATCACATTGGTACCCTATTCTAATAGTGTTGATCGGAAGTGAAATTTCTAGGGGGAAAAAAAAAAAAAAGAGAGGAAAAGACACACAAGGGAAACAGGAATAGTCCTGCACCTGGACTCAGCAAATGCCTGTGTAATATCACAGAACAGACTTTCTCTGGTAGCTCCAGTGGGTAAAGCAGATTTGAATTTGTCTCTCGTAGCTTTATCCAGTTGAGATACCTCAGTCAGCAGCACATTTTTTTTTCTATGTTGTCAGAGGAAATAGGCAAGCAACAACCTAACCCAGCAACAACTGAGTGTTTCTAGTTATGTTTTCTGCATTTCCCATAACAAGTGAGTCAGTACCTCAGCAACTAGACTGCATTTAGCCAACTCCAACATAAAGGAAACTCTTGTGGGTGAAATGTGGATAATGGCACTTTCCCTAAACCATAGAGATTTGGTGAGTATGGCTGTTTTAAAGTCTGTTAGGAATGCAGATAAATGAGAGTATGAAAGTAGCATGTGTGTGTAAGGGGAAGAAGAAAGGATTATAGGCCTCATGCTGTTGACCATGGGAGCAAAACATCCATTCATTTCAACAAAGTCAGGGGATATGATGAAATTCTTTGCTGGACCATTACTCTGTAGACCTTTTTCTTTGTATTTCTTCCTACTTCCTTGAGAAGTAATGATAAGGATAGACTTTTCCTACATATTCTTCTAGCATATTCTGGCATCCAGTTTAATCACCAGATATACTTAGAGGAACAAGTTCACAGGGGTGCACAGATATATGATAAAGAGGGAGAGTGATATATAAAACTAATTCACAGTTCCTAAGCTGATGTATGGATTATGTCCTTTCTGTAGAAAGCTTTTAATCGGGCTTATTGCAATATCCTGATCTTGTTGGCCAATATCTACATTGTGAAAGGAAAATATGCTTAACTTAGTTGTCATACTGGTAGATAGGAAAGAAACAGCCATAAAAGTAAGCTTGGGGAAAATTCAAAAAAAAAAAAAAAAAAAAGAGAAAAAAAAAAGCATTAAGATTAGAAAAGCAGTGAAGAGAAACAAACAGTGATTCAGATAAAAATAAAAATAAGATAAATGAACTGAGCATGAATGGTGAAGAACTTAAAGAATAAAACATCACTGTGTAACCTAGCAAGGAAAAGAAGTAAATGCAGAGACCAGCTGGAGGAAAAAAATGAGAGATTTTGTTAGAAAGAGAAAATGAAGAGTGATGTATGTGTGGGAGAGTGGGCAATGCTTCTAGGCATTCGTTAAACATTTGGTAGGAATGATTAGCTAGTGCAAACTGACAGAGTGATATTAAAATTAATGAAATGATGACAGTGTATAGCAGCTGAGGATCTAGAGCTGGTTCACACAGTATCCCTGTTTGACTGGGACAGGTCCAAAATACCCTTATACCTCCCAGCAAAACTTTCAGGACGATATTTTCTGTCAGACTTCCCATCCAAGTTAAGGGTCTTTTTTCCTTTGTTTCCCTCCCCACCTGCAGCTCTGGAAGTAAATTCATTCCTGGCTTTGTGGAATAAGAAAGAAAGAGTCAGGGTGCTTTCAGCCCCATGATGAATAATATGGTGAGGAAGGGGATTCAGAAGGATCACCCCCTGGTTCCTGTGGCTGCCTCCTACTGGGGTACCTAAGGACCAGCTTATAGAAATTAACAGCCTGGATTTTGAAATACTGGTGCAGCAAAAGGTCAAAGGGCAAGGAGTCTATACACAGCGCTGGTTAGGATTTTTTCTAAACAGAATTTTGTTTTGGGTTTTTTTTTATTAAAAAATAAAAAATCCTTAAACCCCAAACTTTTTAATTAATATATACCAAGTTCAAAGAAGATTTTGTTGGGAAAGACTTTTCAGCTTCAGAATGGAATTTCTGTTTGGACAGAGAAGGAGCAGGTGCTAAGTAAAGTGAATAGCTTGGGCTATTAGAGACCCAGGTTCACTTCTATTCTCCAGTGGATATTTAATTATTTACCCCAAGCAGAAAAGCTCTGACAGAAAAGATTTCCATCTCAAAATCATTAAGACTCTAGGAGGGAAAGGTGATCTCTTGGAAAAAGAACAGAACAGAAGGAGCTGAACCTGACTTCCTTATGATTTGAATGTGAACCACTAATTATTGTACTGTTTGGGAGTGGAGGACATAGGCAAGGGAGAGATGTAGGACATTTTTTTGTTAATTTCTATAAAGCAAATTTAAAAAAAAAAGTTTGATGAGAAAAAGTGGAAATCCCAAAGTCTGTGAGACAATAGGGCCATATCCATTGCTAGTTTCCATTACAGAATAGGCACTTAGCTGCAAGTGTAGCTAAAACCCCTCTCAAGCAGAGGGCTCACCAACCGAGCCTGGAAAAAGTAAGTGGCTGTAGCTGACAAAGCAGATCTAGTCCACACTGAACTAAACTAGATTCCACTAACTGGATTTTCCACAAGAGGTTAAGTAATTGGAGAACCGATGGGCACACCGTGGTGATCTCACAGTTTCCCCTGGAGGAATGCACTGCTGTCTGGTTTTGAAAAACTTATTCCCATCACCCACAGCTCAGCCTTTGATTCCTAGAACTTCTTCAGTTGTCCCAACAAACCGCATCACAAATTAAATTTAGAATATCTATCCCCTTACAACTGAAAGGAAATGAAGAGTTTTCTCTGCCTTTGGGGATCTCAACTGACAGCTCTCTGACTCCAGCTCACTGGAATCTCCCCTGTAATATATCTGACCTCAGAGCTACAAGATAAGCTTTGTTGGGACTTACTTCTTTTCATTGAGTCCTGCATTATGAACTCTGATTTCTTCCCTATGACCAGTACTGGAGAACAAAATGCTATAGACTCAGTTTCAGGCTCATTTTTTTTACACTGGCTCTATGAATGTATGGATGCCATGTTTTCTGTAAGGCAGAACTCAGATTTCAAAACATTTTGTTCTGAAACCTCCAAATGCTAACTTTTTTATTTGGAAGCTCTAATCAACAGTGACGCACTATGGTGTTTTCCAGTAGAAAAAGCAATAGTTTACATCCAAAGGCTGAGTCAGTGCCAGAGGATACAAAACAGACAATAGACAGAATGCAGCTGGCTTATTAAAGCCAGCATTTTTCAAGGATCAGGCATGATACCTGCGTAAGAAACCTTAGTACCAAAAAGTCAGGAATGATGAGCAAGGAATGAATCAAGGATTTATTAAACGTGTCACCAACAATCCACTGTAAATATATATATACATGTACACTTGAAAGTTAATTATATGCAGGTAGAAATCATAAAGAATGGATTCAGGGTCAGGATAGTTTACAGCAGACACACTAGGGAAAGGATTTATCTGGCTTATATGAAGAAGAAGAAAAATAGTAGAAATAAGCATGGCATGGTTGCTTGAGAGGACCATCTACAGTGCTGCTTATAACAAAACTAGACAGGAAAGAACAGGGTCTGCAGGGGGGTGAGGTGCCTCTGAAGAGAGCTGATTAATTTGCTTCTCGTTGAATGTCAGTTCTGTAGTTCTACCATCCTTTTTTGTACTGGAGCAGCTGAAGCAGTGGGTGATTGAGTCAGGGGAGTTTTTTCAAGGGACAGGATTTTTCTCCAAAGGAACATGGTGACCAGCCATGCTGATGGTAGCTTCTCTAGCCAAAGCTAAAGCTGAAGAAAGAGCATGATGCTTACATGTGATTTACTAGTACTTCAGCTCTGCTATTAATCAGACAGAGAACTACCTTTCAGATTTCAGCACATTTTTATTTTCTGTCATTTTGACATATCCCAGGTATGCAGTATTCTCTTTAGTTATTTTCACAAAGTATCTCCTACACTTAAAACTCTGAAATAACAGTGTGTTATATATATATAGCAGTTCTGTTAACTTTATCAGCTCACCTTTGAAAAAGCCAAATTAGCAGTGTAATTCTGTTGATTAGGCTGATGTTTTCCTGACTGCCCAAGGCCTTTGGATTTCTCAAAGATAATCCTGTTGTCCATCTGAAATCCATTGCTGTTTCAAAATAGATGTAAGATAAGGAACTCCAATCCCACTGAAATAAATTGTACTATTTTCCTCAAATTACATTCCACTTTATGTCTGATCAGTCACCAAAAAGTGTTTTACCTATAATTTTAAGTGTTTCAGAGGAGAAAATTGAAAGGATTGTCAGGAATATCTTCACTATTTTTATTTTTTGTGTGTGTGTGTATCTGATGTTTAGATAAACAGTTTACCTGTTTTCTATCTATCCAAATTTTTAAGCCATTTTTCCAAGCAGCCTACATGATAATTATTAACATTTATCAGAGAAAATCTCCTCTTCCTTTCTCCCATTCTTTGTTCTCCAAGTGGAAAATGATGAAACTCCTAAGTCAATATAAGTATTTTGTATTTTCTCTGTACTGTGTGTTACTGAAAGTTGAGTGAAGAAATAGCACCTTCCACTGGAATGGAAATCAATAATCTGGAGTGTTTGTTTTATAGCCAAGGACCATCTCATGGAGAAACCTCTTTGTCAACACAGATAAGTTCTTACTCTTTTTATGGGATGCTTCTATTCAAGATGACAATATATCCCATTACTTCAGACAATCTTTACGTGTTCTGGACCTTTATCACTAAGCAGTTTGAGGTCAGATACAGACATTAAATTTGATCTCCTGCTTTATAAAAGATATAATTTTGATAAAACACTTTAAGATAAGTAATTTAGCAGTATCAAATTTTTGACTGCTAAAGAGATTTTTTGTCCAAACAATAAAAATTACTAGGAATGGCATAAGCAGGAAGACCAAAATAATTATCACTACTAGCAGAAAGACTGTTAAAGCTTCATAAAGGATATTAGTGCCCCCTTTGGAAAGTGATAAAAGTATCCCTTTCAATTTCATTATCTTGTACCACATTGTCATCAGAAGAGTGTTTCTTCCCCTGTTGCTATTTTTAGTCAGATTTAACTTTTATTCCTTTGTCAGACATAGTTTTCAACAATTCTTTATGCACATAGCACAACTTACTTGAAACAAATTTTGAACAACCACAAGTTAGACTGACCACGTATAAAAAAGCAGGCTGGCTTAGAACTGATGAATAAGGACAACATGAGTGTTAATGCCATTTTATTTATAGTGAATAGCTTGATTTTCAGATGTGTTTAAGCAAAGATTCACTCTGCTTTCAGAGGGAATCAAAAAGTGATCATGAACTGGAACCTGAGTCTGAACACTTAAACAGGATATAGAGAACATTTTAACAGGAGATGGAGAACTGATGGGGATAATAACTTCGATAGGTTATGTGTATGCATATATCCCTGTGCGATATGGTTGTGCCTCTGTATGAAAACACATCACTAAATGCATTCTCTTTCCGCTTCTCAGTGAAATGGACTGAAAACAATTGTTAAGTGCAGTAGAACTGTTCTGGAAACATTACTACACAAATAAATTTGTTTAGATATTTATCCCAAATTGCACTTTTTGACATTGCCTTGAGTGGGAAAACCACAATCGCTATTTCTGGGAGTTTCTGAATCAGTTGCAAAAAAAAAAAAAAGAGGATAAACCTGAAAAAACTATTTCTTTTTATGGGTACAGAATTAAATGTATGTGTTTATTTCACATTTCATTGAAAAATAAAGCAGAGCAGACAGCAACTGCAGAAAGAAGTCTGTGAGACAAGGTTCAGCATTTGTTTTATTTATAGGAGTTATTAGCTTTACCTGAACTGAAGTGCTTTTCAATTACACCTTAAAGTGTTTTTTGCCTTTACCTGTGTGTCACATCTGTAGTTGAGAGCTCCGTGAGCCGCGGGCTCCCTTAGTGCTCTCTC